TAACTTCAATATTGCTCGCCTTATTACAGCACTTTACACGGGAGATAGAACGTAGGCACCTATGATGAAAGACAGCTAGTCCTTTCATGTCTTCCACTCTCAGTGGCCAGGTCTCACAGTCATTAAAGGAGGACGGAGGGGACTGATGAGCAGTACACCCGCCCTTTGGTCGGTAGTCGAACATCTCGTCTACGCCAGAGTCGGTGTAAACTGGGAAATGCGAAACGATCCTCCTGTATTCGTGCTGAGATTTCGTCAGAGATCAAGACCATTTAATGCTGACTGTGAGTGGGGTCAATTACACATAAGTCAAAGTAGTAGATCAGGGTCAACCAAATAATTGGAACATAAAAATTCAGCTAGACTGAAAATGACTGATTCTGTTAAGTTCAATAACCTAAAACAAGGTCAACCCCTTCCGCTGTATTCACTCGTATGTAATCAATCACACAATATGTTGGGTGGCCAGGATGACAGTATTAAAAAGTAATATAGTTAGGTAGAGACAGAGAGAAAGGTTAATCACTGAATCGCTGTTCATCGATATTCAACATTGTACACGTGCAATTGGAATGATGCAACGCCGCCTATACCGGAGATATGGAAAGCGGCAACAAACAACAAAGAGAAGTTGGATAGACAGAAAGAGAGAAAATATACGCAAGACAAATTGTAAAATCGTGTGACTAAATTGATATGATTATGAGTAGCAATAATTTATGCTCAAAACCTTGTCATCCAGTTGTTAATATTGCATCATTACTGTGTGTGTGTGATATTTGAAATAAACTTATCTAATATTGGGGAATTACATTCTACCACCAAAGTGGCCATGTTCTATCTACACTTACATTTACAGGCAAATAAAAATGGGCTGTTTTGACAGCCATGAATTCAGTTCATTTTGATATGTGGTTCACCAACTCTACCATTCGACTTGCAGTATGCAGTCTGACCACTAATAGGGGGCAGTTGCATAAACTTATTACAAACAATTACCTTAGCTGATCGCTTGGGTGGGGGGTGGGGTGGGGTGACAATGGAAATATGAGTTTTAACTAATCGCCCACAACACATCTAGTTCTTCGTGTTTGGTGTAGACTGAATTCTGCCATCAGTAAAGTTTGCAATATTGCATCATCACGGTGGACGCTGAATTATTGTTATATATTAAGTGGTTGCAGGCTATCGGTAGTAAGCCTTGCTCTACCTAGGTTTAGCACTACTCGTAGGCGAAGTGAGTCCAAATGTATCTTCTTAGATTCAAACCAGCATCACCCATAGCCACCTTCAGTCAGAGTCGCTATCACTGATTTATTTACTCAGGCTCGTGATTAAATTCCTGTAGAACTATAATGGTTACTTTGATTGGACACTAGGTGACTGACTGACTGACTGACTGATGGGTTTCAGCATAGAACTTTGCATCGATTTGCAGCAGTTCGAGTCACCACACGGACACTAGGTAGTAACTGATGTCCATGCGTCTAGTCTCTGACTGCAACACTGCTTGACCCAGATTCGAATCTCAGAAGCGATATGAATTTCTTAAAGATTTCGGCGATTTAAGGAGCATCAAACTAGTCAAACTACATCTTCCCACATAGTTTGAAAAATAATAGTTGCAGTAACTATAGCTTGGTGGGATATATACTTAATTGTATGGAGGATTTCATGATGAGTTGACATCAGTTAGCGAATCACTGGAAAACCTAGGAGTACTGGACAGCTAATTCGCCCTAGTTTGGGGCTCTTCATCAGCACGCATCCACCAACAGGGTTCCAACCCACGACCTTTTGGTTACAAGGCTAGCGAGCTTGTAGACCATTGGGCCACTAGGACCCGATCCAATGGTCCTTGAATTCTAACTTCTGCCAATTCACTACATAGCGCGACCATTTCACAAAGTCTTCTTCGATGAGTTACTGACTCATCCTCAACCTGCTGTACCCTGCTGGTCACGGCTTCCCACTAGATGATCAAATCCTACAGGCAATCAAACAAATTCCCTACAAAACCAATACTTGGATATTAGCATTATTTATCCTTGAAGGTTGTGGCTTGGCAAGAGTAACGTATGTCTTAGATTTATACCCTGGTTGACATATTATCCTTATCTAAGATTCTAAGTTTAATCTAAACCCTAGTTGCCACACCGTTCTACACCACATGACTAATAGACAATAAATATTTCTGATCAAAGTTGGTAATTCTATTAATATCCTTCTACTTACGGCAATCATGTTACATACTCAATGACTGATTGACTGGTTTCAACGTAGACCGCCGGACACTTGTGCACCAATTCAAGTTGCCAGACTCCCTTCATGTACCACACAAATCAAGAGGAGACAGTAAAGACAGATTCAAAGAGAGCAACAGATAATAAACAGAAGTGTGTGTGAGTCGTCACTGGTTCTTACCAACTCGACGACCTCAATCAGGAAGTCAGGAAGTCTACACCTCCCTACGTGACTGGTTGGCTTAAAAACGAACTGTTGTGGATTTCAATGACTGATGAAGTAATGTTTTCTTTTAACCAGCACTACTAGCTGTTTCTTTTTCAACCTGATCCTATGTCAGTCACCTAACATTGTCTGCTGTCGAGGAAGGTAATGGCTTAGGATGCGCGTCCGATGCAGCTGCTTCTTCACAGCCTCGTCGATTGACGACTATCCATCCCACCCACCTAGAACTCGACGACCAAGGGCTAACCTCAATATTACTCACCCTATTACACCACCACCTAACACTGCACTGGTGATAGACCACAGTCAACTAGGCTTTTTCATGTCTTTATATCGACTGAATTCAGACAAGATGTGTTATACAACGTTGGTCCACACGTTTGTAAATTCATGTAGTTTATCCGAGGTCTTATTCCTTCTCCATCCATCTGTCCATCTACTTGTTAAAAATAAGACTAAACTACTCCAGTCTCTGTCTCTCTCTCTCTCTAATCTATCTGTGTGATTTTATGCTTGAATGTCTCTCCTCCACCTCATCCTCTTTGTTTATTCACTGTAATTCTATTCATGTGAATTTATGTTAAGTAATAACAATAAATATTACAGAACTGTAATAATTGTATACTTGTCCTTGTATACACTTATGATGATTATTATAATTATTATCACGATTATTGATTACCTTCCTCTGTGATTGACTGACTGACTGACTGACTATTCAACTGGTTGTTTTTTCAGGTTACCATTTTATTTCTCTCTCTCCCTCTGTCCCTCCTGCTCGCATGAATTGTGAATGTGTGTTGTGTGCACACACTGTTTACAACACATGATGTCATGTTTCATGGGTGTGTGTGTGTCTGTTTCATCATCAATCTATGTACTTGATTAAAACTTGCTAGTTGATCAACAAACTTCTATCGAGTGTGCATGACACTGGTTACAGGATTGATGACGAGCTGACACGTACGGTTAGAGAGGACCAGCCATTGGAAAACCTGCAAACCAACACTTGACGATTCATGTAATGCTCACTAGTGTCTGGTCGACCCTATTCATCAGGTAGCTAGTTTCCTGAGGTTCTGGTGGGAAGTGGTGACCACCAGTGGGGTACACAGCAGATCAGGTGTGAGGACAAATACTCGCCAGGGATGACACTGGCTAGTTCCAGTCGGGCTATGTCGGAATTAATAGCAGTTTAAATTCATGAAACATAGGATTGACGGATCCCAGTGGTTGAATGGTCTATTGGCTTGCTTGCTTGTAATAGGAAGATCCTGTGGTGGGTGCGTACTGATGAAGACTTCCAACCTATGCTGACAGAAGTGCTGTCCAGTACTCCTTGTGGCTGGTTTTCCAATGGTTCTCTGACCGATTTCAGCTCTTGATCAATCCTGTAACCAACAGGACTCCCTTGACTTGTATAACGAAAATGTGAACTTGATTATTACCAATAGGATTGATGGATACGTGATTGGCTTAGTGGTGAAAAAAGAGACGGAGAAATGGAGGGATATGCGAATTCAAGATTCAGGAGGATTAGTAGATAGGTGTTCTTATGTGGTAGATTATTCGTCAGTCACTTGTGAGATCCGAGTTTGACTCTCGACCGATGTGCTCCTCAACCCTACTCAATTTACTAATCGACATATTTCAAGTGTTAGTATGTAGGGATTTGATTTGTTTTTCAAATTTTGACCCACTAGCGACTGGTCTGCCGTATTCAGGTGGGTAGCTAGTTTCCTGGGGGTTCTAGTAGGAATTGATGACCACCAGAAGATCGTGTATGAGGAGAAATACTCACCAGCGATGACATTAGCTAGTGTCAGTGGCTCTATATCGTGCGTGAATTGGCAGAAGCTGGAATTCATGGGTTGGCTGGCTGGCTGGCCATTGGGTTGGAAGGTCCCAGTGGTTGAAAGGTATAAAAGCTCGCTTACCAGTAACTGGAAGGTCCCGGGTTTGAACCCTGGACCTGGTTATGTATGCGTACTGATAAAGAGTCCCAAACTACGCCGACTAAACAGTCGCTCAGTACTCCCTGCGGCTGGTTTTCCCAATCGTTCTCTAACTGATGTCAACTCATGATGAAGAAACGAAAGGAATACTCCAGAACAATTATGAATACAGGATTTCATCATGAGCTGACATTAGTTAGTTAGCTGGGAGTACTGGGCAGCTGTCTCGTCCTAGTTTGGGACTCTTCAGCATTACACACTCACCGGCAGGGTTCGAGCCTAGGACCTTCTGGTTACAAGGCGAGCGCGTAGACCATTAAGCCACTGGGACCCAATCCAATGGCGCATGAATTCTAAATTCTGCCAGTTCACGAATCCCCGTGGGTACGTACTGTTGAAGAGTCCCAAACTAGGACGAAACAGCTGTCTAGTACTTCAAGGTTTTCCCACGGTTATCTAACTAATGTCATCTCATGATAGAATCCTGTAACCAATCAAATCCCTACAAACCAACACACTTGAATAACAATTATGAATAATTAAATAAAGTAAATAAATAAAAAACAGTCAGCTAACCTTTGTCCAACTCATTAAAGCAGGTATATCAGCATCTGGTTTAAATAAATGACTAGGCCAATTGAATGGTTCAATAAATACAGAAAATCCTGGATGACCTGGATGAACATAAATCGGTTGTATCGTTTTATAAATTGATAAAACACGTGAACGATTATTATTATTATTATTAGAATGATTACTAATACTATTGCTATTATGATTATATGATCCACTAGTAGTCCGTAGTAATGATGAATCTGTACTCTCTGCTGGACCAATAAAACCACCAGAAGAAGAACGTGGCAAATTATTAGTCATGATTAAATTTGATGTAGAAAATGCTTTGCCTGTAATTGATTCATTTGTTCCTGTTAACAGTTGACCACCTGATTTACCATACTCGATAATATGTACTGAATCATTCGTTGTTGTTGTTGTCATCGTCGTCAGATTACTGTGGTTGCTGGAATCCCCCCATACTTTAGTAGTCAGTTTATTATTATTACTATTGGAGCATATAATACCATTACTAGAAACACCGATATCAGGCAAAGTGATTGCAGAAGTTACATTTCTTGTCCGAGTAGTATTCACTTGATTGGCTAACAGTATTCTAGGCTGTTGAGTATTGAATAGCTGACTTGTTGAAATGAAACAATTCACACTACCACCGCCATCATCATCATCAATCGTAGCAGTAGGAGGAGCAGGAGTGGTGATATTGTTTTCATTGGATTTTGTGGTCTTTTCATCTGAAATGCCTGAAAATAAATAAATAAATAAATAAATAATTAGTTAGCTATTAACGATAATTAGAAACATGCTGCTTAACAAGATGATAAGATGAAGACAAAAGAATGACAAATCCTTATAACCTAGGATATCTGAGGGTTAAGTGAACACCTTGCTTACTTCAATAACATGACTGATACATCGAAGCACTTTTAACTTTAGTATTTGCCTTTATGTATAAGGGATTGTTTTGAATTGATATGAAGAAGAAAACTTGCGCACTGCACTGCGGTGGTAGAGTATATAACTCCCATTATGGATCAAATTGCATTTAAGTCACACTGATGACCACGTTTTGAGCACAGTTTATTGCTGCTGATAACCATATCTAGGCGCTCACTCACACAAGTACTTTCTTGATTAATTTGTCGATGGTGACTAGCAGTGGAATCCAGGATGCGCGTTTTATCCTATATGGGACTCGTCGTCATCTGGATGTACCTGCATTTCCCAGTGAGGGATGATGTTCCCACCGAGTGTCCTTAGTTTCAAACGCCTAAGGGCACTGGGTTCGAGCCTTGGTGGTAACATCATCACTCACTGGGAAATGCAGGTACATCCAGATGACGACGAGTCCCCAAAAGGATGAAATGCACATCCTGGATTCCACTGCTAGTCACTATCCACAAATCGAATTCTAATTAAATGCCCAGACATCGTCGAAGCATCTGCACAAGAAGCGGACATGTCAACCTGAGACCGAGCACTTCGGTCCGATCAGTCGACGGGACAATCTCAAACTCAGTTAAAAATACTTTCTTGCTCAGTTTAGATATATGAGTAACAAACTGGTGTGATTAGGCATATGCATATAAATCAATAAAAGTTCAACACACATGTGTGAAACACATGAGATGGGACGATAATAAAGTACACTCGGAAATAAAATCGGTGTTATCAATAAAATAAAATACGATGAAAATTAAGACAGAAGAAAATTATGATAGAAGAATAGCTGGTTGGTATTAAATAATTTACTATCCTATGAAATTCATAAGGAAGATGAGAAAAGGTCAGAGGCAATAGAAAATTAATGGTGAACATGGTGGCACAGTGGTTAGGACTCTCATCGACCACGCACATGATCCGGGGTTCGATCCCCTGCCGACGCACACCTGATATCAATTGGTCCGCCTGCTAAATTTGGGCTACCAATATCACATGCTGAAAATTCCATACTTGTACCAAAAATACGACGTGGAATCAAGCTATAATCAAAATTTAAAAAAAATAAGTAGGGGACATCTGAAACCCTACGTAGGATTCCTAATAAAGGAGGAATTAGAGTGCCATTTAAACCTACAAACTCAATCAGGAACAAGCTCTATAGGTTAAGAGGTTCTGTAGGTGCAAGGGTGGGGTGACATGGTAGAGGTGATGTGAAGAGGAGATGAAAGCATGTGGCATACGTGGAGCCAGGTGAAAACTTTAGCAGAGGACCGAAGGCGAAGGAGACGTTCGGCTGAAGCCCTGTGTTCCTCTGGGAATTAAAGGAAATAATAATAATAATAACTGATGAATTCTATTTTGAGTTGATTTCCTAATATTCTCTAATCTTACCATAAAAGAAACTTTACATGAACCGGAATTTTAAAGGAGATTTAACCTGCGATATTCTTTCATTATCTTTGAGAAGAACAGCCTTCTTAGCAACGCTTAGAGTGATGTTCTCCAGTCGTCCATTTATTCGACCATTTCTGCCGTCATGGTGATAACAACTTTGTTGAAATCTACTAACCTAATTTTTCTTTGTTTCTTTTTATAACTCCTTATAACGTCTATATATTTTTAGAACTGTTACATAATGTCAAATTTCCCTACGTCTCTTTTTGATTGGATACTAGTCAGTCACTAGTGTGTAATGTGTCTAGTCAAATCTTTGATGCGGACCGAATTCTATAGTCAGTCAAGTTTACAATGTGGCCATCACATGCCACTAGATGGCTCGCCATCACGGTGCACTGTGAACTGTTGGTATTGCCTTCGTTTCTATGTGAATCTTGTGATTGACTGACTGGCTGGTTTTAACATAGACCTTTGCATCGATGTGCAGCAGTTCAAGTCGCCATACTCCCTCCATGTAGCACACAAAGGAAGAGAAGAGAGTAAAAAGAAATGCAGAATAGATAGTAAATAGAGATATAAGGCTAAAAGAATAGTAATATTGAAGAACCATATAGTTTTATTGGGTATTATAAGTCACAAGGAGTGGATGCATCTGCGCCATAGAGAACGAGGATTTTGAACCATATCACCAATTGTCTCTAACCTTCATTGGTTATTACCCCAACTGGTCAGACAGTTTACTTCTCCATACGTAGCTGGCTTAAACTAACTGTTATAGATTCGATTGACTGATGAAGCTATGTCTCGGTTTGACCACCAGTGGTTCTTTTCCAACTTGACCCTATGTCAGCTAACATTGTCCACTGTCGAGGAAGGCGACGGCTAGGGATGTATGCGTAACGCATGTCCTAACCATCTCAATCGATGTAACTTCATAACCTCATCGATTGATTCCTCCTCCTTACCTAGCATTCGACCGATGCCTAACCTCAATATTGCTCACCTTATTATACCACGTCTCCAACACGGGAGATAGAATGGAGACAGCTTTTATCATAGAGAGCTAACTAGGCTTTCCATATCTTCCACTCTCAACGGCTACGTCTCACTCACAGGCAGCCCATAAAGGAGTACGGAGAGAACTCTGGTTGAGCAGTACACACGTCCTTTGGTCTACAGCCAGTCGGATATCACGTCTACGTCAGAGACGGCATAAACTGGTAAATGCCAAACGAGCCTTCTGTATCCACGCTGAAATTTCGTCACCGATCAACCCGTTGGCACTGGCTGATATAACTTCCCAAATAAGGGAAGTGGTCAATACGCTCCACCAACCACTTCACTCCCTATTTCTAGGCTAGAAGTCCTGTGATTACAATTCATTTATTAAATTATTTATCTTAATGCGTCAACCTAATACACTTATTCAATTCCTCTTATGCATTAACTAATATTGACTATTTTCGTGACTACTCATCACTTGTGTTACTTCCCTCTTTCATGAAAAGCAGATTGTATATATATGCGATTATACACCTAAAGGAAATAAATGAATCCGCCGAAAAGAGCTTCTACGCTAAACTACGGTGCTTTTCTTTCATGAATGTCTGAAGATGGCGATTATTCATAAAAAATTTACACGAACCACCACTAACCTGTTTGAATATGTTGTGTAAAATACTGTGAACGATGTGGTCGACGATGATTCGGTTGAATAACATTCGCTCGTAATGGATGATTCCGTGTCAACGAAGATGATGTTATGACGGGTGATATATCCGTTGTCGACAACATATTAGTCAGATTGTTATTAGATGAAGGTGTAACTGGTGACTGTAAACATACTGGAGGATAGCATGTATGCGAATATTCTATCGCCTGATGTGGATGTTGATGATGTAATGACGATACTGGTGTCGTTGGTGTTGTTGTTGTTGTTGTTGGGATATGATTTGAAAAACTAACAAAAAAATCATTTGATGCTGATATCCCTTGAGAGCATAACGTTGAAGCTGATCTCGGCGGTGGTGTAGGCGGTTTCAACTGGTCATCATCTTCATTCAACACAGAAATATACTGACTATAATCTTGTGTATCATTAAAAAGGTATGAGACAGGCGTATTCTCCGAATGCATATGCGTCTGTTTCGTCTGATTAGGAATTTCTGAATTCTCCAGTAGAACATTCGGTAGATTATCATCTATACTTTCATCAGAATTTGCTGTTGTCAATGCAGTTGTGGTTGATGACGATGCACTTGAAAATGAGGTAGGCGATATTGGTGGGGAAGAAGACGATGGTTGTGGAGAAGCGGATAATGGACTATCAACAGGTAGATGCTGAGGCTGCTGCTGCTGCTGAGTTAACTTTGGTTTATTAAACGAAGCAGATGCAGAGGATGTTTCTCTCCAATCGATAATATCGATCATTATAGGTGTTATTCTTGTAGAATTTGTATCATTCAATTGATTGGATGATTTGATAATTGAAGGCGATAAAATAGGTTTTAATGAATTATCTGATGATGTCGTCGTCGTCGTCATAGCAGAAGTAGTAGTAGGTCTAGGCAGGGTACATGTTGTACTCCCTGAAGGACGTGATACAGTTGGATTAGTACGTGGAAATGCACGTTGACGTGGTGTTGTTAACTGAGGAGTAGCGAATGAATTTGTAGGCGTAGGATTCCCAAGAATGAATTCATTAGAATTATCAATAGTATATCCTTTAAATGAACGATTTTAAATTCAGAAGGAACAAGAGATAAATCGTTAGAGGTATATTTACTTGACACAGAAGAATTATTACATTGTGTTGAATAGTTTACAGTACTGCAGGGTAACGAGAAGAGGGAAGTGGTAGTGGTAGTCGCAATAACACTTTGAGATGTTGATTTCAACTGAAGATGTGAAAAATGCTCCTCGATTGGACTAGGAAATTCAATTAACTCTTGTAGTTGAGATGATTGTATATTACTATGCCGACGAATAGGTCGATCAGAGAGGCAGTTAGGTTTTTTATATTGGATCGTGTATTATGATCAATATTTGATCCATTATTATGCTAATATTCATACTTGAATCACGTAACCATTCATGGACGCGTTGATGATCATTGGATATTGTTGTCGTTGTTGTTGTTGCTGGAATTGTCACCGGTGTAGTAGTGAACTGGTGGTGGTGGTGGTGGACAGTAGGAGTATTGTCGGCTGTGATAATTCGAGAGGATAATACAGGCGACTGAATACCATTCATATTTTGATGATTACCATTTGAATTATTACTACTATGAGGCATAGGAAGGATATAATTAAATGTATGTCCTGATATATTATCAGCAACAACTGATGTATTGTTAGTAGACTTTCTTTGAGTTAATGATGAGGTTGGCAATCTTTCACTGTTATGATCAGGGTTTATATTCATATGGCTAGTATTATTATTATTATTATTGTTGCTGTGACCAGAACGACGAAATATACCAATATCCTAAATTTGTAAAATTAAGAAATACAAGTATGCAAACATCTTGCGAACAACACAATTTATCGATTTATCAAAAAATTTCATAGTGAGTTAAAATCGATTAGAGAACCATTGGAAAGCCAGCCAATAAGCTTGGGACTATTCAGCAGTATGAACTCACGACCTTTCGGTAACAAGCAAGCATGCTCTTCAGTCTGTGATGGATGCGTACTGCCGAAGAGTCCCGAAATGGGACGAAACAGCTGTTAGAACTGCCTGATTTTTAATCATTGTCTAATTGCGGTCAGTTTGTGATCACACTTTTATACAATCCAATCAAATCCCCGCTAACTAAAACTTGAAGAATCAAAAATTACACAGAGACTAGTGTGAATCATTCTTTTCTTTCTGAATGGTAATCATTCCTAAACAGCGATCAAAATCGATGTACTGAGTACATTGCGGTTATTATACTACGTGGCATATTACTCCGATTAATTCGCAAGGATACCAGTTCAATTCAGATTTTGTGGCTATTGGCATTAGAGTCACCAGTGTTTTTTTTCATCTTTTCCGTTCCAACCGGATCCAACCGCTTCAAGCTCCATAGTTTCAGTTGCAGGGTACTGGGACAACACCTAATCGTCCCTCCTCTTTTCTGGGCTAGCTATTAGTCAGTGATTCAATGATTCTCTAGCTGATATCAATCCGTGGTCAGAACTTGAGAAACACATCAAATAACATTCTTACAAACGAAATTTCGAAAATTAATCTGATGCTAGTGACTGGCTGATCACAGGACAAAGTTGACTGGAGGGAGTTGTAGTGAGAAGTTGTGACCATTTGCGTCCATCCTGTTGGGCGTTGGGGACAGATACACACCACGGATGACGCTGGCTAGCACCAGTCGCGCTAAATATACATTTCAAACTGGTAGAAGTTAATATTCATAGGCAGGTCACTGAGTCGGGTTCCAGTGTTTCAACGGTCTACAAACTTGACTTGTATCTGGAAGGTCCTAGGCTTAAATCCCTTTCAGTAGGTGCGTACAGCGGATGGGTCCCGAAGTAAGCTGACAAAACAGTTGTCGAGTGTCCCCTGGCTTTGAAACTGATATCAATACGGGTCAAAACTTGAAAAACCAATCAAATCCCTACATATTAACATTTAAAATATATCGGTTAGTAAATTAAGCAGGATTAAGGAGCACATAGGTCAGGAATCGAACTCAGATCTCCAACGTGAATGACGAATAATGTACCATAAGACCAATTATCAATTAATCCTCCTGAATCTTGAATTCGCATATCCCTCTATTTCTCCGTCTCTTTTTTCACCACTAAGCCAATCACATCTCCATCAACCCAATTGGTAATAATCGAGTTGAAACGTTCGTTATACAAGTTGAGTGATATCTTCTAGTTACAGGATTGATCAAGAGTTGACATCAGTTAAAGAACCATTGGAAAACCAGCTATAGGGAGTACCGGGCATCACTTTCGTCAGCCAAGGTCGGGACTCTCCATCAGTACGCACCAATAACACAGGACCTTCCGGTTACAACCAAGCAAGCCAATAGATTATTCGACCATTAGGACCTGTCAATCCTATTTTCCATGAATTTAAACTGCTATCAATTCCGACATGGCCCGACTGGAACTAGCCAGTGTCACTGCTGGCGAGTATTTGTCTTCACACCCGATCTGCTGTGTACCCCATTGGTGGTCACCACTTCCCACTAGAACCCCAGGTAACTAGCTACCTACATGAATACGGCAGACCAGTCACTAGTGGGCATCATCACATGGATCATCAGGTGTTGGTTTGCAGGTTCTCTAACCGAATGTGTCAGCTCGTCATCAATCACAATGCCTGTAAACCAACACACACTTGATCAAATTCTGTTGAGAGATCAAATAGAAAGTTTTAATCAAGCACACAGGTAATGATGAAACACACACACACACACCCACCCATGAAACATGACATCATGTGTGGTAAACAGTGTGCACACATTCACAATTCATGCGTGCAGGAGAAGAGAGGGAGAGAGAGAAATAAAATGGTAACCTGAAAAAACAACCAGTTGAATAGTCAGTCAGTCAGTCAGTCAATCACAGAGGAAGGTAATCAATAATCGTAATAATCATAATAACTGTGTATAAGGACAAGTATAGAATTACAATTATTACAGTTCTGTAATATTTATTGTTATTACTTAACATAAATTCACATGAATAGAATTACAGTGAATAAATAAAGAGGATGAGGTGGAGGAGAGAGATTCAAGCATAAATCACAGAGATAGATGAGAGAGAGAGAGAGACTGAAGTAGTTTAGTCTTATTTTTAACAAGTAGATGGACAGATGGATGGAGAAGGAATAAGACCTCGGATAAACTACATGAATTTACAAACGTGTGGACCAACGTTGTATAACACATCTTGTCTGAATTCAGTCGATATAAAGACATGAAAAAGCCTAGTTGACTGTGGTCTATCACCAGTGCAGTGTTAGGTGGTGGTGTAATAGGGTGAGTAATATTGAGGTTAGCCCTTGGTCGTCGAGTTCTAGGTGGGTGGGATGGATAGTCGTCAATCGACGAGCTGTGAAGCAGTTGCATCGGACGCGCATCCTAAGCCATTACCTTCCTCGACAGCAGACAATGTTAGGTGACTGACATAGATCAGGTTGAAAAAGAAACAGCTAGTAGTGCTGGTCAAAATAAAACATTGCTTCATCAGTCAATGAAATCCACAACAGTTCGTTTTTAAGCCAACCAGTCACGTAGGGAGGTGTAGACTGCCTGACTTCCTGATTGGGGTCGTCGAGTTGGTAAGAACCAGTGACGACTCACGACAATGGGTGATACGACTGGCTCAAAGTCCTCATTGTGAATGGCTGACGCCAGTGCATTCACTCTTTGTGATTTGCCAGTCATATACAATAAAACTCCTCTATTGTTGTTCATCCATATTACTATTCTCTCTCAAGTAGATGGACAGATGGATGAAGAAGGAATAAGAAGTCGGGTACACTATGTGAATATACAAACGGTGTGAACTAATGTTGTATAACACATCTTATCTGAATTCAGTCGATCTAAATACATGAAAAGGCTAGTTGACTGGCGTCTATCGCCTGTGTTAGATGGCGGGTTAAACATCGGTCGAGTGCTAGGTAGGCGGGAGAGAAAATCAATCGACAAGGTTGTGGAGCAGCTGCATCGATTGAGATGGTTAAGACAATTGTTATGGATGTACATCCATAGCCATCTATCGCCTTCCTCAAAAACAGGCAGTGTTAACTGACTGAAATTGGGATCCGATTGGAATGGAAATAGCCAGTGGTGGTGAAAGGCAAACATGGAATCAATCAATGAAATCCACAGCAGTTAGTTTATGCGAGTCAATCATCTAGTCACGTAGGGAAATGTAGACTTCGCTCCACACTGGTTGGTGTCTTCGGGATGGTAAGAACCAATGAAGGCTGGAGATAATAAGTAATGATATGACTGGCTCAATATTCTCGTTCTAAATAGCTGGCGCGGATGCATTCACTCTTTGTGATTTGCCTGTCATATCGAATGAAACCCTATTTTGGTTCTTCCATATTACTATTGTTTTTCTCTCAATCACGTGGGGTGTGTGAATCCTCTTCAACTTAATAGAGCTATTTTCTTATCAAATATTGTGACGTATGTCTCAGTACTTTTTCAAACGATATAAAAGACAGTGAGTGATGATGCAAGATTCATAACTGTGAATGGCTGGCATTTCAAGTACAATTACACAATCACACAGCGGAATTCCCCAGTTTAGCTTTTTCGGCATCATATTTTACCTCTTCATTCAAGTGAAGTATCAACCTATAGTATATATGTCCAAATCAAGTTCACTTTTAACAGTTTGAAAAAATCTGGGCATTGGATATATATGGTAATATTCACTATTATAAAAGTTTTTATATTCCCCCAATGAATGAAAAACAAAACGATATTGCTGCTATTACTGACGTTACGCCATTTAATGCTGCTGTTAATAGTTTTATGAAAGTAGTAATATAGAAACCAGAATTTACAGAAGCTTAGTTTATGTATACATTAACGTAACCATCGTTCATTAGCAGGGGGTAATTTTTACGTCATCAAGTTGGTGCATTGGTAAAGATTAAAAAAACCAAAGTGTAGATTGTTGGATTTGATAACTGTATAAAAAATTATACAAACAGCATGTGTTTACACAATGAAATTGCTTATCGCATACGTGTTAATTTGGTAATTTCATACTGGTGAGGGTGGTGTTGTAACCAGGTGAAATTCTGTTTTAGCCTATCATTCCTATTCTTCAGACAATTTGGATTCCTCTTGATATGAAGTACTTCTGATAATATGAAAGACGTTCTTTGTGCTTCCTGAAATGCTTTTTTTGGACTAATCGTATGTTAGCTAACATTGCTTGTTGTCTAGACAGGCAGTGGTTTGGCATGCGTAAAACGTGTCCTAGCCATCTGATCGACGCTACTTCACAACCACCTCATTGATTGACTTCCCCCCCCCTCACATAACACTCAACAGAAGCCTAATACCTCAATATTACTCAGCATACTACACTACTACTTAACGCGGAGGATAGAACGCAAACAATTATAATCAAAAGCAGCTAACCGGCCTTTTTATGCCTTTCACTCTCAATGGCATTTTAAGGAATAATTGCAAATCAATAATGCTAACTTACAAAAAGTTTATACATACAAGGTGATGAGACTACCCTACCGGTGGCTGCTACCCTGACGTCGTGGTGGTCAGCCTTGCACATCGCAATGACCCAACAAGTTACACTGGCTGAAACTATTGTTCCTGCAGGTCCTACCATCCCAGGAAGGTTGTTAGGATAGCGAGATTAGACTAAAAGCAGTTACCGGCTTAGTGTAAGATTTCCTCGTTTTTTTCACTATGCTGGGGGTCTGTGGGTGAAGTCATACTGCTAGGTAACAGGGATGTAACAGCAGTAAGTTGTTTCCGT